CTTCTCTCGCCCCTCAAGTGCACGCCGATTCATCGTCTCTGATTCATCGTACTTTCCTTGGTCTCCCAGCACCTGAGCAAGGTTGTTGACACTTGTTAGGGTGTCGGGGTGTCCCAGCCCAAGAACCTTCTCATACCCCTCCAGCGCACGCCGATTCATCGTCTCCGACTCGCCGTACTTTCCTTGGCTTTGTAGGGCTACAGACAGGCAGGCTATGGAATCCAGGACGCCAGGATCGGTTAGACCGAGCGGCGTATCGATACCCTCTAGTAAATCCCGAAATATCTTTTCAGCGACACCGGCCTTCCCTCGATTTATATACGCCATCCCCAGAAACCTATATCTTCTTTGTCCCTCATCATCCCAGTCATACTCTTTACCCTCCTCTCGAAGTGCAATACATCGAAGAAATTGTATTTCTGCGTTACTGCAGGAACCAATGTCCAAAAAATACCTCCCCATGCGAAAACAAAGATCTTCGGCAATGGGATCTCCTGAATCCTTTGTCACAACAAGTGCATGCGCAATGTATACAGGACCAACAGATAACCACTCGTCCTGGTATCGGGGGAACAATCGCGAAACCGCTCTTAGCGCAGCGGCCCTCCCTTGGTTCTGTTCTTCCGCCGGTAAATACGCCTGTAATGATAGCTGAACCAACCGGTGAAGCTCGTAAACCTTTTTCTCCTGACATTTGACAATCGTGACCAACGAGAACCCCAAAAGCTTTCCAATGGCCTGACGAAACTCGACCGGATCGTCCATACCTTCCAAGCCGCTTTGACTCAATAGCTCCTCCGGTATGTTTTGACGATCGAAGAATGCAATTAACCGCAGAAGGCGTGCCGCTGGAGGCATCTGTTGTGCGATGCGGTCGAAGGTGACAAAGTATGTGCTCAGGATACTTTCGGTCATATTAACCTCTCTGTGAATGTCGTAAAACTGCTGCGACAGCAGTTTCTTCGCTCGCTCGTCGCTCTCCTGGAGAATAGCCCAGTACGCGGATGGTGGTGTCTCTGTCTCGATCATGAAGGCTACCGCACCTACCATAGCCAGTGGCAAGTGGTGCATCGAGGCCAGGATCATTGCGACGGCCCGATTTTCCTCACCTTCCAAATCGTCCCTGCTACCAAACCGTTTTAAAAACAACTCGTGTGCATCGTTCTCCCCCATTTTTCCAACCTCGATTATTCTACAGCCCTGCCTCGATGCAACTAGTCCAGATCTAGTCGTGAATAAAACAGTCCCTTTCGTGCCTTGTGGTATGAACCTGGAGATGGGGCTACTATTGCCGGCAAAGTCGTCGTCATTGTCGGCGTTGTCAATAACCAGAATCCAGTCGCCACTGTTCGAGCCTTCAAACCACCTCCTTACACTCAGCATGAATTCCTCTCCGTCTGCCCCGCTCCCGGCCAGAGGAATTCGGACATGCTGTGCAATACGCCTAAAGTCCTCACTGAATTTTAAAAGCCCACTTCCGTGCACCCAGAAAACATGACAACCGCTCTCGCTTATGCGCTGATAAACGTATTCGAGCGCAATCTGTGTTTTTCTAAGAAAAGTTAGTTCACCCTTCATATGGAGATATAATTCGTGCATACCCGGAACCACCTAACCCATGCAGTGCGATTCTGTTGTGCGATGTACTTTTGGAAAATCCCTTTACCGATTCGAGGAGATCTTTTTGGCCAGTGAACCTGCTGTTCCTGCCATAAGGAATTAAGCGATATGGCCCCGATGTTTGTTTCGGTCGGGTTACTAGTAGATTAGCTTGCCTGAAATATCTTGGGAAACTTGTTATTACCTCCGTCTCCAACGCCAAACGTGCTACACCTATTTTCAACTCCGAGATTGGTCATATCAGGCAGCAAGTACATGTTTCTGACAGTATTGTTGCTACCAAAAACATTGTTACTACCCCCATTCCCACTGCAGCTTCCATGAATGTTTGATTGGGCTTGGGTAACGCTAACAAGGTTGTCAGACCAGTTATACCCATATAACAAAGAGACATTACAGGAAAGAGCGGCCTACTGATCCATCAGTTCTGATACTAGGATCCAGCACAATGTGAACCCGTTCTTGCAGGTCAAGAATGATAGTAATATACAGCTAGATTGTTTGCCGTTTTGTCCTTCTTGCACCTCCGGTAATACGTTATATAACGGGAGATATTCTCGACGAAGAGCCCAACCCTCGGTACCGAGATGAATAATCCCCTGCGTCCGGGTCTGTGCCGTTGTATAGTCCTAGCCAGTTGCGGTAGAGCCCCGTGGAGAGTAAAATTTTGGTATCGTGAGTATGCGAAATAGGGTGCGAAAAGTAAAATGAATTGGAATCTAGAAACTAGAAAAAATATGCTGGACGACCAGGCGGAGAAAAGGCTCATGAAAAGAAAGGAGAAGCGTAGGGAACGATACCCCGCCCAGTTGTCAGCCCTGCGCAAATTGGACGAAGTAATTGGTTGGGCTCCCCTTAGGAATTGAGCCGCGGTGAGTACTCGGATATGATACTGTAAAGTACTTAGGTACAGTACCTACAATGGAGGACGATTGTACAACTACTTGTACAGTTTAATTCCAGTGATTTTTGTGAAACAATCCCACTTGCATCCATGCACAAGAGCGTGGGGGCTCGTCCAGGGGGGATTTCCAATTACAATGTGACAAGTCGAGCGTCGCACATAGCTTGTTAAAATGGCTGGGGCAGAAGTGCACGTAATAAGCCAAACCATGGACCGCGCACCTTGGGTTCAAGACTCGGGGTAGGGATAAAACCCGTGAAAATTGATGTCGTGATTGGCAACACGCTCAGTAACTGAAAATTCAGGCTTAGCCAATTAACAGCTTAGAAAATCAAAATTCACCGATCACCGTCTCTAAAGTGCTCACGAAACCTCTTTTCTCTCAACATATACCCCTGCACTGCATATGGTCTATGAACTTCATTCCTACCCCTCCGAAGTCCTGTCCACGTACCCACCTTAGTACCCAAGTGCATTCCGACGCCGTAAAAAACTCCCAGACAAGAAAACCAGTTGCTCCGCTGAAATCCACGGCGGTGTTGGTGGAATGATGTTTAAAACAGTACTAGGCCAGGTCTCTCCCCGCAAAAAGGCGCCAGAACTTTCCGGAACAGATACGCCTGTATTTTCCTGGAGCTAGGGGATATAACTAGGTTTGTGCTTACGGTGCATAAGGGTGCATAAGGGTGCATCATCTCCATTTGTATTGGCTGAAGCGAGCCGGGCCGCATACCGGTACACGGGTACTCAACTATTCACTGGCACGAGAAAGAGAAAGAAAAAAGCAGCTAAAGTTACAAGATTAAGTCTGAAGTTGAAATTATTTCTCCCAGCTTCCCAAACGGAGGTCCCAATCCAAAGGGACACACCGGCAGCGCCTATACGGTGATTTATCCCGGATTCGAGATAGCTCTTCCACAACCAGCAATAATACCGAAGCGATATAAAGCATTCAGAAAGAAATCGAAATAGCGAAACAAAAACAAATACCAGAGGGGAAGGGAAGGCTTACCCAGGGCAATTCCCGTGAACCACCCCTTGGCCCCACGGAGCTGGTATTTAAGCTCGGTCCATAGCCTTAATCAGATTTAAGTGTAATGAGTTTGTAGGCCAAGCCATCCTCTGATATCCCAATATTTCCCCGCCGGCATTTTCCCATGTTGCAGGGGGCCACTCCGAGGAGGCCGCTAATCAAAAGGAGCTGATAACGATACCTCCTGGACCTTTTTAGCTAGCGTATTACCTATACCGTATTTCATCCAAAGCTCAACCTCCAGGAATTCCCCGGACTGATCCAATGGCAATGCTCGAGTACAAGCCCACGCTTGGAGTCCCAGCGCCCTACCCAACGCTCCCCGCCTTTCCGCTTTCCCACACACATGGAGAGACAGGACTCCGGTACCTACCCCCGAGAACATTCTCCCAACGCCCAAGCACAAACCTGCCGAGAGAGAGACAACAGAGAGTCGCTTTGGGAATGGGGGATCGTTCCAGACACAACACAGATGTTCTTTTGCGATATCTCTTCCTGAAAACCTTTCTCCAAAGAATGTAGTATTACAAACACTCTCATAGCGCGTATTTTATAAGCTTTAGAATACTCGTGCATCTAGCCACAGACTAAAAGTAGACCACTCACCAAAAACACGATGTGGTTACTGACATATGGTGTGGGGGTAGTGTTCCAGAAGCAATATTTACCCTATGCCACCCTTCGCATGGCTCCAATGCTTGAACACCCCCGATCTCTAGAGGCGCCAAAAGAGGGGCACTCCCCCAGCCACGGAATGATAATATCGGTACTGTAGTATAAAGTATGCTAAAATCGTGTGAAATCTAGTATCCCTAGTAGCTAGGCAATAGGCCTAGACAGAGACAAAATCCTCCCAAAAATATGGTTGGTGTTCTCCCGACACGGTCCAAGATCACCCATCCCTCACCATGCTGGATCTTATTCACCATTCGCAATTCTGTAACCTGTCAAATTAGGCCCATCCAGGGGTGGCTGAGATGACATATTTCACGAGACTTTACGGGTATCCTATTAAGTTAACAAAGTACTGTGCACGACTCTCTCGCCAGGATTACGCGCTCATCCCTCAGGGAGGAAGGGGCACTAGAACGCCACCCCGAAAAACAAGCCGCTGCAACCCAGGAATCCCAGAACCCCAGTTTACCCGTGCAGTTATTATCATAGAGGGCATCCCAATTCTCCAACCGATCACCAACTCTATTTTCCCGTAAGACAGCCCCACTGTGATAGAATTACGGCCATGTAAGGGATGCATATCAATACACGGTGATAGTGCTCCGAGACGCCAAGTAGACCCGGCGGACTCTTGGATCCGGTTCTCTGATAGCTTCCATCCTCCCCATTTTCGCTAGCTGATCCCCCATGTCTCATGGGAGTCATGTGGAACTATACCGGTAACTTGCAGGCATCCAAACAGCCAGGCAGGCACGCGGGGAACCTGCAGATATTCCCCGATCTCAAAAGTATCCGAAAGTTCGGAATTCGCTTTGCCGAACCCAATGGTTGCCCACACGGTCAAGTCCGCAGAAGGAATCGTTGAGGAGTAGGGGAAATAAGAACAATAATAAGACAAATGCTTAAAAGATACTGTTAAAAATTTGGCTCTTTCTCTTTCCCTCGCTCTCGGCTTTTGAGATAGGCACGTAGCACGGGGGATAGTGCCTTGATTTGTGTTGCCACGAGATTCTCCAGATCTCCCGATATTTTCGAGAAGCGCGGGCACAGCTCCTTGAGCCCAGGCTAGCCCGGATGAAGGTAAGACTCAGATGCGTTTTATACGGTAACCCCAAGCCTTCCCAAAGTCCGAAGTCTTCCCGGATTCGTGGAGTGCTCGCGGTCTTTGGCCATCCGACATGTGGTTAGTAAACATTCCGTCCCCCGGTGCTCTATGTAGCAGATATCCTCCGAGTTTGCTGCGCGCCAATTTTGGGTTTGCGGCTCTAAATCTCGCAAACACCCTCAGATACCCACAGATATCCACAGATATCCCCAGATGTCTCGGAATCTCCGGGCTCCCGCAAATATCCTTGGACGTCTGCAGGTATTTGCAATTATTCCCGACAATAGGATTCAATATCTAAAGCTACCCTCTCCCCGTTCACGTCCAAAAAAGATAAGAGAAATCCAAACGCTCCCACAGCCTCCTCCTCCCCACAACATGACCTTCCACGCACTGTTTCGCCAAGATGATTCCGCAGCACAAACTGTTCCCTTTCTTTCTGTTTTTTTTTTTTTTGAGCCTGGTTATCGGTCTTGATGCAGCTAATCTAGGGCACGGGAGATACGCAGCAAGTTATGCACCCGCTGTCCCTTAACTTAGCCCCCAGCACAACAATAATGAAAATAACATATCACCGGTATGGCCATGCCGGTACAGAAACCGCCAAGGCATGAGATAGTGTTCCATTCGGTCCATACCGCTATCCACGCATCCCCCCCAAAAAAAGAAATTAAAAAATTAAAAATTAAAAGATGGCAATCATATCCGATCACTCGCATATTCCAGGGTGGCAACAGATATCCAGTGTACGATATCTACACGCCCACCTTGCCGCCCACAAACGCTAGAGGGGATAGCCAACCTCACCGATGGGAACACATTAATGTCATCCAGTTGGCGCACAACACTTGCACACATCACAAGCAATAGAAACCACCCGTCAGATATCCCCAGACGACAGAGAGGAAAAATGCATAGTCCCAGAACGAGAAGACAGGCAGACTACCCTGAGCGATTATACAATTACGATGGCCAGAAGCCACACACGCACGACAGCAGGAATGCTATCACAGCTATAAAATTATATCCAGTAATGCCAGCACACCTCAGACCCTGACGACGAAGAAAAAGAAAAGCGGGGGGGGAGGGAATTAGCAGAAGGAAAAGTTAACTATTCATTCCTACGGGAAGAGCCTCAAACCAGGTATGATACACTACAGTAAATACAATCCAAGTAAACCACTTCCATGCCTTTACGCACCGCGATCGCTAAACGGGGGGGTTCTTCAACAACCACACAGCCCATCAACCCAGAATTTGTGGTGGAGCAAGAAAAGTCACCGGGTGGCAACTTTGGTTCCAGAAAAAGCGGCACTAGGAACCACTCAGGTCCGGTAGGTATCATAGCTGCAAAGACACGGCGGGGATCTACCATATGATACCCGTGGAAACTGGTGAAAGTCATATTGGTGCCGGGAAAGCGGTGTACATAATAGTTCTCGGACGCAGTGTGCGGCTGGTACGAGTTCACTACGTACGACATAGTGGCTGGGCCAGGCTTACCCCGTAATCTGACCTCCATTTGGGGCTACAGGAAGTAGGGTTTCGAGAGCCAAGCACTAGCCGCTAGCACTTGTCCGACCTCTGCGAGCCGGCACTGTAGACCAAGGGGATAGCTTAAAATGAATTGTTTCACTTGAACGACCCGACCTTCCGAATTTTTTGCAATACCATACCACACGAGATCTTTCCTAACTTAAGTTACAGGATATGATAGCCCAAAAATAAATAAACCCCCCCGGGGGTAAATATCTCAAATTCAAAAGACCCGCAAGGAAGGCACAAGTAAACAGCACAAAAGCTTTTGCAAAACATTTCAGGAAAAACAAAAGGCTCAGACTCCCCCCCCGCCCCCACCCCCGGGAAGACTACGGTGTAGAAAGGGAGCAGCAAGATACCCACTCCGCACCCCTAACACGCAGTGCAGCATGGAATTGCCTACCCTATAGAACGTGATAAGAGTCAAATTAGGCATGGTACAAAGGGCCAATTGGCTGCTGTGAAACAACTCGTCTCCCGCGATCTCTTAACGTGAGATAGCACCTATCAGCCACCAGCTCCCTGTTATCGCATCCCAGATCATCAAGAAAGTGTTCCCAGTCGAAGGATATTTTATAGTCATCCTCATGAGCAACATCCAAGAACTCACTTGGTAGAAATTCACCTTGGAGAAGATTGGAGGAATCAGCGATATATCTTTTTTTGTCAGCGTGAATCGATTACTAAATCCCTCCCAAGTGCTTATTCACCATGCGATCCCCAGTGCAAACAGCTAATCCCGGTTTCCTAGTCTTACTTCCACATCTCGATAAATCCAGTAACCTTTCCCACTCAAGAAAGTCCCTTGTATACAGCAGGTCCATACCTATGCCCTAGAGTGAATATTTTTCCATTAATCCCTTCGCGTTCGAGATATGCCAACCGCGAAGACTCTTCAACACTGAGGTTTTGAGCTAGGCACCAGTAACCCGGGCTTTCCTCAATCTTGACGAGCATAACTGCAGATAGTGTCTTCTGCCCTTCTAACCACGCACAGGCATCCCCAGCCAGCTTGTCATGTCTCTAAGAGCCCAGCCTCAATGGCGAACTTCACCTCCGTACCCCCAGCAGCATTTTCGATTTTTAACGCGGTATCGAGTGTCTTCTCTGGCCCATCATACTACCAATGAAATCCAGTAAATCTCTGAGTTCGTACAATGCCAATCTTTCTCCTGATTCCCGCTGGAAGCTTATTGCATGTATAATTCAGGTCTTCTAAGGCTATACACACAACTCCTACATACAAAGGACTCGGCTGTGTATTGGATCATAAGCGTCGAAAACGATGTGTTCCATGAATACCCCGGAAACCTGGTACTATTAAGCAAATCGCCGGTGGGAAATGGAAGAAATCGCCGAACCTCTCATCCTCATCAACACTCAGAGCCCTTTTGAATCTGAGGAAATCTCCCGAAAATATTTTCATTGTAAGCCCTTTTTCGCTGTTTGCCGGGGAATCATACTTTCCTTTTCCGGACTGGGATCCCTTGAACCTCTATACACACTCCGGAATATCAGCGCGCCTGGAAGTGCCGCTCCCCTGATCCGAATCAATTTGTGGAATCACCGAGCAGTAGTGAGGCCCATCATGGCTACCAAGAATATATGGCCGACGGTCCATTGCAATAATAGCTGTCCGTAGGATGGTGAGCAGAGGTACGAAGAATGGAATGGATTTTTTACTCACGTGATGATTAGGGATATCCGCAAAAGAATACTGGTAGATGGCGGGATGGCGCCGTGTATGCAGGGGTAGCAGTTCTAACAATTCTCCCGGAAGATCATTGATGGTGGCTGTGGCCGTGGTCAGCGCCTTTATTCTCTGGGACGGGAGAAACCAGAATAAGTTATTAGCAAGGGTCAGAAGGCGTGGCCCGAGCAGAGATTACCCCAAGAGGCAACACCCTTGAAAGAATCGCCACGTGACCTCAGGCGTACACCTCTTTAGACAATCCGCTGTCCCCTAAAGGCTGAGAACCTTTAACCGCACTTGTTTTCCCCTCGCGAGAGCATTCCTATTTTCCCCCAGATCACACCGGTACTCTAGTACAGGTAACTTATGATATAATATATGATACAGCTCATGCCCACAACCGGGCACGGGCGGTAGGCCACCAGCTCCACAGCCATTAGCCCCTCCTTTCCCAGATTTCTCACGGTACAGAGGGCGACTCTGCCGTCTTTTTCGCAATGCATAGATAAGGCACTCAACGGGGTCAAAGGGCCTCACGCTCAGCGAGGAATATGGCGCTCCATGTGCTCACGATTCCATCGACAGTATACAAGTACTTCTAGTATCCGTTCCCGTAAAAGCCCCGCCTTTTTAACGTAATCAAGCCGACACACCCCGAGGGACGCTACCGATAGCATTCGGGTAAACTTCAGGGCTGGGGGGAGCCCGCCCAGATTTTCAAACCCGGTTGCGGGATATAGTAGTCGCACGGCACAATAGACTACCAGTACTACTTGTACGATGATCGACTCATTTGGAGTATGTGGAGACGGCGATCGCGGACGCGTCATGGGTCTATTAATATCATCACCTTGGTTCGCGGGAAGTGGCGGCAGGGATAAAGTGCGGGCTGTGGGGTACCCCATCCGAAAATGAGATAGCGTATTCCCGGATACAGCCTTATTGCGCGATGGACCGCGAGCGACAATTTAAGGCTGGGCTGGAGAGCCGTCTGGTTTGGAATACTGTATTTTATGTAGGACCGCCTTTCAGGAATTGAGGTTTTGGCAGGGATGCATAGCCGGTGGAGCATCTGTGCTGTGTCTGGTTGGTTGTTGTGCTGGGAAGGTGGGGAAAGGCTTGCTTGGGGGTTGGGTGGTGATCCTTGACATACTTTAGCCTCGTGTAGAGTAGAGAGCCCGTACATGCCGTGCTGGTATTATGCCTTAGTTATCTTATCACATTGCAAGTTCTTGGCTAGCACTTCTAGGGATAGAAGGCCGATGGCTTCGATTGAGATTTCCATTCCGGTCGTGGCCAAATTCATTGGCAAGTTAGCCATTCTTTTGAGGGGTTCTATGCCAGTACTATACCGTACTATACTGGCACTTCGCAGTACAATTTACGTAAAAGTACGAGGGTATATATTATTCCAATTACCTCAAAATCTCCAACTCGATAGTCTAAAGAAATAACCAATCCTAGAAGTGACACGATATACTAATTTTGTACAAAAAATCACCGCCCCAGCACGAATATCCCATCCTTAGAAAACCATAGCGAGAATCCCAATCACCGCCCCGATCAGCACCCCGCTTCCAACCTGCACACTATCGCCAGAACTAGCACCAGTCGAAGTGCTGGCAGCAGTACCAGTAGCGCTTGAGCCGGTGGTTCCCGCCGGACCACCGGTCCTTGTCGCGGCCGAACCTTCTGACGTCGTTGCTCCACCCCTGCCGGCAGTCGTGTTCGCGGGAACACTAGTCTGCGCCCCGCCACTACGCGTAGTGTTACTGTTCCCGCCGCCACCAGAAGTAGTATTCGAGCCCGCGGGTGGCGAGGCGCTCGCTCCCGTGAAGTAAAACGAGAAGAACATCCCATCATTACTTCCACCTGTTCCAATTAGCGTTGACCCCCGGGTTGAAGGGATGGGCGGGGCACATGTCTCGTTCAAAGCTCCAGCACAATTGGCCCCACAATTTGAATCGGGGGCTCTCGGGCCCTGCGGCAGGTTGTCGCCGCAGTAGCATTCTGTGCCCCCGGTCATTGCTTGGACGCGGTAGTTGCCGGCTCTCACGCAAGTCTCGCGGCAGGCCGCGACAGAGTTGGGGGCGCCTAGTTGCTGTGAGGACAGGCTACCCGGGCCCCTGTAGCAACCAGCAGGCCCAGCGCTCGATTGAGCGGCGACGGAAGTGAGAAGGGGGAGGAGGATGGTGGCGAGGATGAGAGTCTTCATTCTTTCTTCTCAAGAACCCACAGAGTCAGCTGTGCAGCGGCGGGGGTAGCGGTGGTGCGAAGACGGAGACAATGGAGTTAATGCTGGAATGGAATACACAGGGCCACCACTCCGACTTTATAGTCTATTTGCTGGCATGGAAAAGTTAAGCTTTGGTTGGGGAAGCCATGTCATAAATCACCACAGCAGGGATAGATGATCGGGATCAGGTCCTGTGTAACGTGTGATTTAGGAACCTTGCGGATGCTATTTACCAGAAACGAGAGGGCGGCAGGCCGCGCTGGTATCCGAGTAGTAGAGGTACTGGTACAAGCGCTGCGCCCGAGTACCGGTGCAAGTGGAGCGCAAGTACAAGTACGGTGCTAGGACAACAGCGCTCACGACACGGCAGCAAGGGCGCAAGAACTCGGTAGCACTGTGCTTTTCCGCTAGTTTTTCACGGAAGAGTGGAATGGTTTGGGGGATTAGCACAGCGATTGAGCCTTGATCGAGGAAGGTGAGGAAACTTGCTGAGCGAACGCAAGTGTTGGCAACTGTTGTAACATAGCTGTTCCCTGGGTTTGCGTTAGGACACTAGGGAATTGTGGCCAATCGGCTGAGCGGAGGGGGGTACAGCTACCATAAATAACCACAACGCATACCGTAGCCAACGTGCAAACTACCGAGGGCAATATGGTTATCCGCGTTGAGCAAGGCTGTGGAGTGATTGATGCGGAGAACGAACACGGTACCAGTACAAGTACAGTACAAGTACCGGCACTCGAGCACAAAAATGACGCGTGTCGTGGTTCATCACGCATCACTCGATACGCCATCCTCTCCACCATACCGGCATCCTCCTCGTTTGGTGAGGAGGATGGCTAATTTTGGGAGCGACTCTTTGTAGCTTGCACACAGCTGCTTCGATTACCCGCCATTCGTGCTGTATTCGATTACTGTGACGTTCGGGGATGGCGTTTTCGTGTCGAATACGGTTCCAGTTCAGCTGGCCCCAAAGGGCTGGCGGAAAAGTCGGGTGATAGCTGACCTTTTAGGTGTGTTTGAATATTTCAATTCCAACCCCGTACGAGCGCCTCTTGGGAGGCACCTTTCAGCTCCCAAATGCTCCGTATAAACCACCCGGACTCTACCTCCCATTTCCCAACAAAGGGACTGGTTCTCCCATCCGACCGCTACAGATGGCGAGGGACATGCTCTCGAGGTAGTTGATGTTGACATGGATTGAATAGGTAGTCGTCCAACTTTTCGTATTGTAGTATTCCAGTAGACTTCGCCTCGAAACTTGGAGGGGGAAGGAAAAAACGCGAGGACCAAAATAGAGAATGAAACCAGCAGCTCTCCGGGCGATTTGGTCCTACCAACGGAATCGTGTCGGTAAACCGCATAGGCTTGAGCGCGGATAACGTGCGATCCAACGATACCGCACGGCCAATACCGTAGTTTACCGGCACTTGCCGTCCGTCACACCTGGAGGCTGGGGGGCTGTCTGGGGCAGCGCACTTTAGCCTCAGACCCATCCTCGAGCAGTTGGGAAACCATTGTTGGCAAACTGACTGATAATATGTCCCAGCACTTGCTGATATAATCTATTGTTTAAGCGCTATGATTGGTCGGTTTGCAGATAGTGGTAGATGGTTGCCTGGACAAAGTCTGCAGCTATCATGCGTCGCGCCAAACAGCACCTTCCGCTACCGCTTGGCAATTGGGGGCTGGGCGATCGACGACTTTGCACGCACATAGACTAACCGATCCTGTACGAGTACTCGAGTACGGTGGGGGAGGCCCCCGCGATTGCGCCCACACATCTTCAATCAAACATCCGAGATACCTCTTGTCGACAGGTTCCCTCGGGCCCGGGGAAATGAGAAGGGATGGCGGTAGCGGAAAGAGGAAAACAAATGAATTGTAGTCGCAGGCGTGTCCCCGGAAATACTCGTGGCGATCCTTCCTACACACGCGGCCCTCGAGAGGAAGGAAGGTACGGAAGAGAGAATCTTTTATTCTATCATACAAGTACCTCTCGGGGCCACTTCGCGAACCCTATACGGTAGAAACTAGCTACAAGTAGGATGTACTCGTACAGTGCTCGAGTACAAATCCCAGGAGGGTTATACACAAGAAAGTCGCAGACACATTCGCGTCCCCGCAGCACCGACTAGACTATTTCCCTTCCTGCCTACGCCCTCCCTACTAAAGCACACGCTTCTACACTACAATCCATGGTTTGCTGATCCCCAGAAAGTTTTTCACCGGAGTCTAGCTCCGATAGGCTCCAGTGTCGTGATAATCGCTGGAATTTTGGCAATGATCCATATTTTTGGGCTGTAGGGTCACACCCTCCTATCCCGGACCCGCCGAGCCTACTATGGAGGACTTGGTTGGTTGGGTGTAAGTTATTGTGGTGCGTGGAAGCTGCATTGGTAATGTTGCCAAGACCCCAGCCGTAACGCTCGTCCCTCAAGATCCCCCGGGGAGGGAGCTCTCCTGGGAGACCCGGGATATCTTGCTCCGTGTCAAGTGGTGAACTACTCAGCATTTCTTAAACGGTACTGAGTACTGAGATGCCAATTACCGTTTAACTGGCGAGGCCATGCCAACCGGTGGTGGAATCCACAGACGCCGTTGTGAGATACATATTAGATTCCGCCCCGCTCAGCAGTTCTTCCCACATGATAGAACGGAGCACACAACACACGATCCTTGCAATTGGGCCCGGGCTGAGATCGGGTCGGGAGGCCGGGGGTTTGGGCCGGGCTGGGTCGTCCAGGTGGCAAGCCCAGGTAGCCCGGTAAAGCCCAAAAGAAAGCCCAAAAGTATTGTCACTTATGTTTATCAAGTCACATGATATCACTCATATCTCCTGATTTTGAAAAATAGTGCTATGGACCCTAGTACTTGCGGAACCGGAGGTCTCTGTTCAAAATCCACTGGAGTAGGTTTCACTGCATTCATTCTTTTTTTAAAGTTTACTAACATGCTATTATCCTAGATGATGGTTGGAGTACGGCAAAGGGAGTATCCTATATTGTCGAAGTGGCCAATCAATATTCATAGCATACCGGCAATGTCTGTTGAACCGGGAAGAATATCCTCAGGCACCAAACGAGCGATTAGTGATCGGCGGCATTCCCTTAGTTCGGATACTATTCAAGCACTTCGATGTCTCCGAAGCTAGCAATCACCAGTCAGAGTTGGGGGATTCTCTGAAAACGTTTAGGAAACTCATTTCAGGGAACTATCCTTCGCTTTGTTTGGGTCGGGTTGGGCTCGGGTTGGGCCAGCCATCATTTGGGCCGGGTTTGGGCCGGCCCGTTGCGAGGCCCGGGAACACACTGGTGTGTGCTGTTTAGTTTTGTTATAAATTTCAGGAGAAAATAGAAACTTACATACGTAAACCTTGTGGCGCAGCTGAGCTTGGTGATGAGGCCATTACTTGCCATCCACCATCAGATGCTAACTGGTCTAGCTTCACGCCCAAAAGTAATATTGCCATTTCACCGCTGACAGTGCACTGGGCAAAACTTGAGCTAGTCTATAAGTTGCAAGCAAAATCAGGCAGACCAGATACCGCGGTCACTCGCTTGGAATTGCATCTTTAGCTGAATACTCTGGTAGAGTTAAGAAGGCAGGTACTACTGTTGGTGTATTAGGGGGTGTAGAGGTGTGTGTCGATGTGACAGCTTACCTATTCCAGGAATCATAGGGTACTTATTTATCCGAACAAACGCGAGAGCAAGAGAGTTATAAATTATTTTATTGATTGCCCGAAAAGACGTGACTGGCCAGTGTGAAAGTGAAATAGCCTTGCTGTTCCCAATAACTAGTGTATCAGCTTCTGTTTACGAAACCTTGTAGCAAGTTGAGCTCACCCACAGAGCTAAACACATTGGATGTGATTCTTGCACGCAGAGCACATGTGAGTCTACGGTCGCCCTGTGTGTTTTCCTGATAAAACTCCGATGCCCGCGGTGAACAAGGAAGAGAAGGCTTATAGGATGGGTGAGATAAACAGGTAGTATATGAGGCCAATAAAATAGGCAATGCCGGTATTGTAGGGGTTGAGGACATCGACGTCAGTGTTGCGAATGTTGTCGGCAGGAGGGAAATGAGGGGCAAGAAGGTGGATCCATCCCTGTTTGCTTTGTGCGGGGAGGTCGTGGTTGTTCTGGGGGCCCACACTTAGCTGCAAAGCAGGGCTGATTACAAGGAGGCATTCTGTGGAGTACGATACGGTTTCACTCGCGGAATATGGTACGACAGCCGCTATCATAGCGTATTAATTGGTATATTACCGGAAGGTGAGTACGAACCGGTTAAAATTGTGTATAACCATGGGGTTAGAGGGACGATCTCAAAATGGACGCGTTGAAATCACCACAACAGAAATTTTCAAACCAATCTGTATAGACCGGATGGATACAGTGTGAGGCGACCCCCTCAGCGAAGGCTAGGAGTTCAAGAAGTCTCTCCTTAGTTAATAGAAGCATTGACCTGACAAACAGGGCCACACCTCGTTGAGTTCGCCACCTCGCTGAGTGGTCACCGTTTGTGTCAAGTATCTAGATATCTGCCTTCTTCCTTGTTTGTTGCAAACCATGATTTCCTTTGTTTGTATCATTGGGCCCTCGTTTCCTGCTAGACTACTTGGCGTACAGCTTCCCTAGCGTTTTTGGTTAGATACCGACTATTCAACGGCTCCCCCGTACCCGCTGGATATATCAAGTTTACCCCGGGATTGAAGCTGCCCACAGGCAAGTTTACTATTGGCTGAATGCAGGGCGATGAAGAAGGAAATACCTCTATCGGTAGAGATCTTCGTCGTCTCCTGTATTACGCTATCCTCCCTGTCCTTTCTGTTCTGGATTGAGTTGGGGTGAATTTGTCGGCACTTTTCGCAATCTGCTTTTTTTGTTGATAGAGGCCTTCAGGTTTTTTCCGCCTATTCACATTCAACTGGGGTCTGGCGACGAGTGATCACTTGTGCTCCGGTCCTTCCTGGAGTCATCTTGAAAAAGGGAAAATATATACAAAAAACAGGTTCATGGAGGAAACGTGGAAGTAGGCGGGTAGCGAGAAGGTGGAGAAATAGTGATGGCGGGAGTCCGAGAGCTCCAATTTCCCTATGAGACCCGTTCCTCTTCTGTTCTACTTCCCGCTCCCCCCCTCCACCACCTCCTGGAAAAGATGTGTTTTTTCTGATATTTTCTCAATATATGGTGCGGTGCAGCTAGAGTGTGCACCTGGCTCCATGCAACATGTGACACCCAACCCTCCAAGGAAGAAGGGCAAAATCCTATAAAACACATATTTCAAAAATCACAGAACATTATACTTTCAGTTGATTCTTCCTTATATCTCCACTTTCATATTTGTCCTTACCTCGAATATCCTGGAAATGAAACCCTATTTCCCATAAAGCTCTACTAGTTTGAATTGTATAATCTTTAGGGAAGATAGATACCATATTTAGACACAGTACCTTGATAAGGTGGATTTTTAAGGATTTTACCCTCCTTCCCCAGAGGTTTGAGTGTTACATATTGCATGGAGCCAGGTGCACACTCTAGCTGCATTGCACCATACCAACACCTTCCGCGGAGGGTTGAGCCCACGAATTTCCCTGCCTGTATCAGTAGGGACTGGAATAGTAGCCATTCGGCCATTGGAACTAGCTGATACGTATCCCTTTTCATAAACCTTTACTTCTCACATTGATTAGGATCCGAGATTTTGTGAAATGGCAAAATACTCAATTCTATCCAGCAACTTAACCTGCCCTCAACTGCCCTACCAATCCAGCCCCACCTTACCCCTTCAGGGCGGCTAGCTCCTCCTTCAATTGCTCAACCTTCTCACTCAATGTCTCAAGCTCATCCCACACCGGCTGCAATATCCTATCCAACTGGGCCTTCAGGACGACTCCGTATTCCTTGGAGTTACTGACCTGCTCCATCATAGCATCATGGTCGTCCATCTTCCTATCGATGACCTTCTCAAGACTAGAAAGCCTGCGATTGTGGGTCGCTATCTGTGTTTTAAGTTGGGCGAGCTTGGGTGACATCTCAGTATGAATGTGTGTTGCTTGTTTGTTAGAAGGTGGATTTTATCGGCTGGTCTTGTAGTGGTGCAGTTGACGAAAAATGTTGAAGTCGATTGTTATATGTGAGAGGTAGTTTTGGGGCCTAGTTAAATAGATAATAGCCTTCGTGTATCATACTATGTAAGCTTCTGTGCTTAGGGTTCTGCCGGAGGAATTCTAAGACTTTATTTCCCGTAGAAATGGTTAGCCATGAATTAGTGGTAAGCTTGAATACTATTCCCTCGGTTTTTCAAATCGGCCAATACCCCCTTAACTATCAACTGTGGACTGTTGGGAGGATCCTGAAATTCTCTGGCCTATGGCGTAGCCTAGTCAATGTGAAGGCTTGGTGTAGGCAAATCTTGTATTGAGCTACGGTATGCGATTAGATCAGAGCCCTATCATAGGCCCCGCTGATCTAATGGGGAAAAGAGGGGGAAGAGCATATAATTCTTTCTGGCTCATTCCCTGGCACTGTAGTTCTTGAATCTTCTGCTTGGAACTTTTTTCCGCCCCCCTGGCGGGTATTTGTATTGGGGGAGGGAGCTCCACTCCCGCGAGCGCGGGATCCATAGTCGTAGAGAATAAGCACCGATCATAGTGGACGTCTCAGTGACAGAATATCAGGGCGAAACAACCAAACGTTTATTCCATAATTACCTCTCTTCTACTCTTACCTAATGGATAATAAATATTATGCTATCAAACAACAACTTCTCAGCGCAATCTTCCTTCTTTTCTTCAAATTCATCATCAGCAGAATGCGAGCACAGGTTATCACTCGCAGCTGGTAAAAGCCTCGTATGCCTAGCATATCATATAACTGGAAAGGGGCAAGGAACCTGCTAGATGGGCCCGGGCTAAACGAGAAAAATATTTCAGAACAACAAGGCACTATCTGAGAGCGCGAAACAACTAATAATATTCCAATTCACACCGGCCCATCTAATTCTACGCACCAGCAGAAGTCTAGCACACAACAAAGGTATCTACATACATCAGCTCCGGTCCCACCAGCACTCATACTACCCCTCAGTACCACCGTTGAACCTCCCCATGGCCTTCCTTAATTCTTCCACCAGCTCAATCGCCTGTTCCTCATTCACCGCTTCAAAATCGTACCGTTTCAACTTTGTCTCCCGCTGCGGCCTTAACACGACAATTTTAAAGCTACTAGGCATCTTGCGATAAGTTTTGCATCCGATAATAGTGCTGATGTGTATACTAGTAGTCTTGGAGCTATTCTCGAAGAGTGTTTTCTGCTCCGATGGCATGACATGCACGTACTCACCGTCGATTGCGAGTATGCGTTCGTGACGGGCCATGAAGGACATGGATGCTTTGCGCCAAACCGTGTACTTGAGGTAGTCTCTACTAGAGAGCATATCTGGGGCCCAAGTTGCGGTGGGTTGGAGAAGTTTACTCTTTTTAGGAGTGCGGAGAGCGGCAGTTGGGCTTTCGGGGATGTTTCGGAGGACAAGATCGAGTTGGTCTTGCTCTCCGAGAGTCACAACAGTACGTTCGAGTGGTATGAATGCGTGTGATGGAGTCCCTGCAATACGAAGGACGTATTTACTCTTCTCTAGATGCTTTTTGCGGCACACCTGGTCAAGAACCTCGCTGATGTTCGTGTTGGTTGTTACACAAACTGAAACTGACTGCGCGAATTCATCAATCGTCGATAAGTGGATGCGCAAGATTCTTGAAGTGCCCCCTGGAGTGGCTGTTTGGTTTGTTTGGCGTGTTGCGGTTTCTGATCTCGTAAATGAAGATGGTGTAGCAGGTGGGCCAGCCGAAGGTTTTTTGAAGGAGACCGGATTTGGAGTAACTCGCTCGTTTTCAAGGACTGTAATGTCGGTTAGCAGGTAAGATGGCGCAGAGTGAGAGTACGAACATTGAGCTTGAGTCGCTTCACAGAGCGCAAATTCGCCTTCTAATTTTGTATCCCTGGCAAGCCCCCTCCCACCCCTCCCTTTCTTAACGATGTAGCTCGTGATCGGTTGCGTTCTTTCCAGCGGCGGGAAATCATCATCCGGTTCGCCGTCGTCGACCATTCTGAAAACCCATTTATTTATATTCGACAACTCTTCCGTTAAGACAGGCTCCTTCTTGTCCTCTATGTATTTGTACAGCACGAATCCAATCGCATCAAGCACCGTTGTCTCTTTCTTGGTACTGCCTTCCTGCTTAATGTTTACTTCGAACAAAGATGATGAGCGAGTGTATGGGATGAGGAGTTTTAGCGTTATTGAGCGTAACTCGCCCTTTCCGGAGAAATCTTTGTAGCTCTCGAAAGGGTTGGCTGCTTCAGATTCTTTCGCTTTCAGCAGCTGAGTCAAAGCCGATATCGGCTGTACTTGAGATATAGGGCGGATCGGAGGGGGTAAGGCGTGGAGAACGGCTGGCGATATCGCGGCCTGGCGTTTCTGGGGTAGAGACAACGAGTTGCCAATGACAGCAGGATGTGAATCTGCAGTCTCATTGAAATCAGATGACATAGCTGTGCTTGCATCCGAGTCTTCAGCAGACTCATCACCAAACCCTTCATCTCGTGGCAGCGAAGAATTTGGAGATGATCGAAGTTTGCTAGTGATTTCTGCGTGAAGCTTTTCAATCTCCGACACCAGTCCACTCGACAGAAGTCCCTCATCTGCGGGGGGAAGCTGGTCTAGATTATTCTTATGAAAATCTACATCGCCGTGAGAACCGCCGCGAAGTCGCCTGGTTCTAGATTTTGAAGGCGAGGTGACCAACACCTGGGGGCCCCGTAACGGGGATGAACCGGACCGCGGGCGGGAAGGCACAATCTCCTTCTTTGGGAAGTCAAATTGAATCTTTTGTTGTGCACTATTGAAACCAAAAGTTAGACGGGTTTATCTCAGGAATATACCTATCTAAGGATCTTACGCTTGCGTTCCCTCATCATCATCCGAGTCATCGCTCATGTCTGAACTATCATCATCCTCCCGGTGGACCTGTCTTTCCCTTCGCCTTCTCCTCCTAACCTCCGATTTGTCGGTTGCCATATCGGTGCTCCCGTTGGAGAAATGTGAAGCCAGCCCAACCAGGTTGTCATCATCCGCTTGGTCATAGTTATTTCGTCTTTCCGTGATGATGGCTGTCGGGAGTGCTCCATCTCCTAAACCTACAGATCTGGAAGGAGCCCCAGTAAAGTACTCGGCGCCAGTACCGCTCGGTATTGGCGGGGAATAAGTGCGACGGATTTCGGTGGCAGCTCCCCAACCAGCATTCTTATATGCCGGAATGTTTATAGATGCCGGATTGACCGAAATGAGTCGCTCTCCAACCCCATCTCTCATCCCCTGAAGGTAGCGAGTGCGGATTCGATAGATTACGAAGCTGCTAGAAGGTCAGCAGGTGGAAGCGTGAAGATAAGAGTTCCTGTCGGGCAACTACTCTTGGTTTTGAAGCAGGGACATGGTGGTAGAAAAAGAGGAATGGCAATTGTGCTATGGATAAGGTACTCGGTATCTCGCTGTGGGTATGGGGGGAGTGTCGAAATCTACCGGGTTTCGGAGCGTCTGGACTGATTGTTGTAGGGAAACTGTGGAGATTGGGGTGGGGGAATGGAGTGAACGGAGTTTGCAATCGTAGGGGCTGGTGGAAGTAAGTGAATAGGAAAATTCGCTGCACCAAGGCCAGCTACCAGTACAAGAGGAGGAAGGTCTCCTGGAAAGTGGTTTGGAGAGAGATCGCACCAACTTCAATTCAGAAGCAAAAGCTGTGTCCAATTAGACATACTATTGTGGTGAGAAAGAGGATGTTTGGTATTCTGTAGCAAGTGTTCTGTAAGCAATTGCATCATAAAGAGGAGGTACTCGAGTAGTGGGGCAAAGGGTGTGGATAGATTGATCCACTCAAGGAGAGCGCCGCTAAGTGTTGGGATAGCTTCTCTTCCTTTATCGATAGTTTAAGGTCCTCTGCCTGTGTTGTTGCTGGAGCTATTGGACAATGCCATTGTAAGAGTGTTTCAGGAACAAGCCATTTAAAGAGTCTTGGCAAATTGTCGGCTCCTCGAACTCTCCAGCTGGTCGAGCCAGCTCTGTACGGTAGGTACCAGTATGGGTACGGCACTCGTACAGTACGGGAGCGACAAGGCAGTTACTGGACAGGGCTAGAGTTATTTGAATGTACGAGTACCTTATCATACCCGAGCCATAACTGCCATAGTAGTACGCGAGTACCCGTGCTGTGCGAGTAGGATACGGTGCATGAGCAGAGCCTCAGCCCTCTCGAGCAAGCATCACACCACGTGACCCCACTCAAAATGAGAGCTCCCAGCTCTAACCCTGACCCCCGGAATAATTAACACACTTCCTGCAATAGAGAATCTCGCGCGGAACAGGAAGCGACCTCAAGACGGCATTCGGAAACCCATATTAATCGACTAAGCATGATTCCCTCCTCTTCTGGAGGCAGTGGAGTTCCCCATCGTCTCCTGAATTTAGAGTCTGGGAACTTGTCCTCATCGTCTTCTACCAGCTCTCCTCCGCCCGGGAATCATCACCGCCAACCAACAGTTGAGGAAGATGGCGATGGCCGTGATTCACCAAGTACGCGAAGTCAGAGCCACAGTGTCCCATTAAGCGAATCGGGAGATCGTATAAACAGGTTCACCATTCCATACATTATTTCCGGGGCCCTCACTCTGTCGTTCGGCCGTCTAACCCTCTTCGCAGAATAACTTTCAAGCGTCGGCAGAGAGGGTCTTCGTCTCGCTATTCACTCTTCTCAGTGGGAACACCGTCAGCTGCTACAACTCCATCTCTCCTCCCACCGGAGCCAGCGTACAGCCCATACTCCTCTGGAACCAACCTCGATCAACTCCATCATCCAGAACCGGGCCAAAAAGACCTGACACAGTCGGCCTTAGACCCTTGGTCATCTGAAGGCCCCGGACGACGGGTTTATGATGATCTTACGGCTATAGATTGGATATTCGAATACACAAAAGAGCGGATACGCACTCGGGCGCTTCTCCGGCGCGGGGGGGTGCTAGGACACATTGTGCAATTATGGGATTCGAGTCAGGTGTGGATTGTGTTAATAGGCACAGGGCTGGCGGCTGGACTACTGGCGGCAGGTATTGACATCGTAACGAACTGGTTGGGGGATTTGAAGCACGGCTATTGCAACTCGCATTTTTACTTAAGCCGAGAGTTCTGCTGCTTGGGGCTTGAGCGTAGGTTTCCTGATATTACACTGGGAACAAATGGCGGTAAAGACTGATTTTTGGCCTCCGCAGCAAGCGACAAGTGCATTAATTGGATTCCGTGGAGTCAAGCGCTGGGAGTGACAGGCTCCAAAGCTGGCAGTTATATCATCGAATATTTGTTCTATATCACGTTCTCCGTACCGACTCCACCACTGACGCCAATACGCTCTATCCATTTTTCTAACCATTATCTTCACACAGATTGTCTTTGCAGCAATCGCAAGTCTCTTGGTCACGAAATATGCCATGTACGCGCGTCATAGTGGAATTCCAGAGATCAAGACTGTCCTCGGGGGTTTCGTTATCCGACGATTCATGGGAACCTGGACATTAATTATCAAATCCCTCGGCTTGGTGAGCCTGCGCATCCCCGCATGAACAAAAAATTCTAACGTTATGATATACCAGTGCTTGGCCGTTGCCTCCGGCCTATGGTTGGGTAAAGAAGGTCCTTTAGTTCACGTTGCATGCTGCTGTGCCAATCTACTCATGAAATTGTTTTATGCGCTGAGGAAAAATGAAGGTAGAAACCCGCATTCAGAACAACACCTTTGGCACAGGACTAATATCTGTGAACAGCCCGAAAACGTGAGGTCCTCTCCGCCGCCTCTGCAGCCGGGATCTCAGTTGCCTTTGGATCACCAATCGGAGGTGTGCTATTCAGCCTGGAACAATTATCATACTACTTTCCAGATAAGACAATGTGGCAGTCCTTCGTCTGCGCCATGGTAGCTGCCGTAACATTACAACTCATGAACCCATTCCGGACTGGCAAACTGGTCTTGTATCAAGTGAAGTACACTCGCGGCTGGCACGGCTTTGAAATGGTCCCGTTTGCCATCCTCGGGGTTCTGGGGGTTCGTTTTGTCTCAAACTGCCGCAGATACCACGTGGGTGTTTTATGCTAACAAGTAATAGGGCCTCTACGGAGCCTTTTTTATAAAACTAAATATGAAAATTGCCGGGTGGAGGAAAGAATCTAGGTTTAAGAAATACCCCGTAGCGGAGGTGGTAACTGTCGCGGTAGTCACCGCGATAATAAACTTTCCAATAACCTTCATGAAGTGCCTCTCCCTCCCTCCCCTTTCTATCTCCACTAGCTGACCCCACAAAGGCCCCAATCCTCAGAACTAGTAGCGAACCTTTTCCAAGAATGCTCCCCCAAAACTGACGACTTCCTAAACCTGTGCAGCCACGGCAAAGCCGCCGGGCCAATCCTTCTTCTCCTGCTCTCATCGCTGCTAGTAATGCTTCTAGCCTCAGCCACCTTCGGTCTGCAGATCCCCGCGGGGATAATCCTCCCATCAATGGCTATTGGCGCACTCTACGGGCGCGCAATGGGAATGGTAGTCCAAGCCTGGCAACGCAACCATCCACGCAGCTGGATATTCACCTCTTGCGATCCCGACATCGAGTGCGTGACACCCGGGGTATTCGCCATCATCGGTGCAGCCTCCGCCCTCGGCGGGGTAACTCGAATGACGGTCTCCATCGTCGTGATAATGTTTGAACTGACGGGAGCGCTGACCTACGTCCTACCAATCATGATAGCAGTGATGATATCGAAGTGGGTCGGCGACGCGTTCGGTAAGCGCGGCATCTACGAATCCTGGATCCAGTTCAAAGAATACCCGTTCTTGGATAACCGCGATGATCCGGTTCCCGATATTCCTGTTAGAGAGGTCATGACCAGGATTGAAGATCTGGTGGTTATCACAGAGACAGGACATACTATTGATTCCCTGGAGGGTATTTTGGCAAGCCAGCCGTATAAAGGATTTCCCGTCGTTAGCGACACTCGCCAGGCTGGGCTAGTGGGGTACATCTCGAGATCGGAATTGCGATTCGCGCTGGATCAAGCACGGACTCGCGGTGCCAGCGGTGATACGGAGTGCTTGTTTACGGCGCCACGCAGCGTTATCGAGGGAGATTACTTGGACTTGCGGCCCTGGATGGACCAAACTCCTATTACCCTCTCGCCAAAAAGCAGTCTCATGCTTGTGGCAAATCTTTTCCAGAAGTTGGGGTTGAGATATGTGCTCTTTGCCACGCATGGGTTACTCCAGGGCGTGCTCACCAAGAAGGATGTTTACTTTGTGCTCAATGCTGAGGAGGGCGCTGCCGGGGTTGCCGGGAGGCTGTCCGGTATTGGAGAGGGCAGAGAGGGGAGGAGGTTGTTGGGGGGCGATCTGGAGAGTGAGGCTGAGGAGGGGGATGATGAGGTTGGGTTGTTGGGGGAGGAGAGTGACGGGCTGTAGGAGAAGGTCTAGCGTGTTCTGTCTCCTCCACGATATATGTACTTTACGACCGGGATTTGGTGGGAGTTTTTGGGTTATTCATTTGAACAGATTGTAGATACATGTGAGGAATCTCAAGGATGCTCGATCGGTTGGGGTTCAAGTTCTTTCTGGGAAGCCTTTAATAAGCAACTGTACCTGTGAACGGAAAGAAAAAATCAAGTGATTGTCGAGTGAGTATTCATGATCTGACAGTCTAGTCTAAGATCTAAAGTAAATGTCATAAACCCCCCATCCCCGATTTATTTCGAAGTCCCATAAGATCCGGTATATCTTCCACCAATTCCAACCATGAACGTCAACAGACACTCAGGCTCAAGAATTCTTCTGCACAAACTCGTCAATGTACTGAACCAGTCTATCCACGCTAGAATCCGTGATCGAATTGTCTGCGCATTCCTAGGTCAGCCACAAAATACAGGACAACAGAGAGGGGAGGTGAGGCACACAATTACTAATCCTAATACCGCCGACACTCCTGTGTCCCTTGAGCCCCAGCAATCCCCTCTCCTCTGCACCCTTCAAGAAGACCCCTTCGAGCTCCTCCGGCTGGGTCCTGACGCAAATATTCATTCTAGACCGCGCACCCTCGAGCGGAACCACCTTGAAAATCCCGGGCGCGCCCCCCAAGGCAGCATACAACCTCTCCGCTTTGCGATTGGCGACTTCTTCCTGTTTTGCAAGGCCGCCGGCCGCGACAAGTCCCTTCATTACCTCACCGGCGACCCAGACGTCGAAGATGGGGAGGGTGTTGTAGAGGGAGTTGTGTTTCGCTAGGATAGGGTAGGACATCATTACTGGCGGGATGGGGAGGCCCAAGGCGCGGAGCGTGGCGGGGGTTGGCTGGGTTTGGAGAATTGAGGATTTCAGAACTGCGATTGTGAGGCCAGTTGTTCCAATGTTTTTCTGAGCACCAGCCTGGTGGTCGTTAGCTATCGGATAAAGCAGGAAGGGGGTAGAGAGGGATATACGAAGATGATGTGAAACTTTGAAACGTCAACTCTGCGACTCAGTATATTACTACTCATATCCGCCGCGACAATCCCACCCTCCAGGCCCCTTGGAAACCCGGGAAACTCCACCCCGTCAACCGTCTCATTATCACAATAGTATGTGAAAATTCTCTCCTCCCCCTCAGTCTTCTTCCATCCCTCCTCCTCTTCAATCCCACCGTATCTGCCGAAAACCCTCTTCGAATCAGTAACCACATTGACTTTCTCCTCCCCAAACAGCCTCCTTGCTTCCTCACCCCCCTTCTGGCTCCACCCCCCCGTAACAACGTAGTCCATTCTTGCCTTCTTGAGCCTCTCGCGGACGACCCCGATATCTCCACCGGCTTTGTCGAGCTGGGTTTGTACCCAGTAGCCTAGTAAGTTGTACGGTACCGCGGAGAATTGTGTGGTTCCACCGCCTTGCATGAAGAGGACGGTATAGTTTTCCGGGATGGACAGCAGGCTACGTAGGGAGGATTCAGTGGTTGCGAGAATGTCATTAGAGAGGGCGGAGCGGTGGGAGTGCTCGGCCAGGCCAAGACCGGTGTTTTGAAAGTTGAGGATGGCGGTGGAGGCGTTCTGAAGGACTGTGGTTGGGAGGCTGGCGGGGCCAGCGCCAAAGTAGGTTATCTCTTCGCGGGTAGGCATATCAGGAGTTTCAAGTACTCGTATATGATTTTTTTGGTGGTAAAGGTTTTGGAGAAATCGAGGAATGTCTATTGGAGCAGTGAGCAGACGAGAGGGGAGAGGGAGAGAGGGAGAGGGCCGAGTCCGGACCGAGCCGCTTGGTCGTGTTGCCCCGCTAGAGGTTCTCTTGGTGGTGTCCTTTTCGGCTTTTTACGTGGGGTTCGACGATCCCTAGTTATCTGATTAAATTTATGATGGGATAAGGATCATTGGCTCTCCCGGAAACCCGCTGCTTGATAATTGGCGCGGGGCCGGTTCATGCTATAAATGCTTGTGGAGGACACATCCGGGAGTTGCTCTGGATAGCAGGCGATCACAGGCCATATCCTGGACTGCATATGTTGGTTAGAGCAAACCCCCGGAAACCGAGGATTGCCTCTATCTCGAAGGAAATACCGGTAGGCTCAGGGCAGCCTCTTTCCGATCAAATACGAGTACTGGCTCGATCTTGCTCAAGCGGTGTAGGTTCTCAAACTTGGGAACCGTCAATGCACGCTTCTAATTTATGGAATTCATCCAATTGAGTGGATCTCTCAGCCCACGTATCCTTCCTTCCTGGATCCCACCTGTAATACAATGCTGTGAGAAGCAGCGAAATCTTATCAAACCTCAAATTCTTCGAAAATAGATAGAATCTGCGGAAGTATGTATAGTATGATACCAAAAACTAGACTACGGTTACTGTACGAGTAAGTGGGGTCAGTCTTCATTTGAGCATGCCAAGCCATACGCCAAGCCTCTCTTCCACCTGCAGATCTCAGTGAGGCTCAAAAAATTTCCTCCGGAATGTCGGTTGCAACGACACCAGATAAATTTATCCCCACCGACGAAAAAAAAAATACATTCCTAATTACAATGCCGCCGCCTTTGCCCCAGGTAGGTGAACCACATCCTCTCCATTGAATTGCTTGCGTGGAAATCTAACAATCCCTCCCACAGCCTCCCATGCTAAACAGCACAGTAGATATCACGAAATACCTCCGTTCTCGAGACGCACCTCTTCCGAGTCTCCTCTCCTTCGCCGAGAAAGTCCTACAAGACAACAAAGTATTTTTTCCGCGGAAGGAGGAATGGCTACTGGAATGGCTGGTACAACGGTTAGGCGAGAAGGGTGATGGAAGTGCCACTGCCAGGTGTAATCCTAGGTTCTGGGGGATGCTACTAAATCTATTGCGCACTTCGTCGCACACTTCTGTGGCCACTATTTTGAAGAAGCATAGTTTTTTGCAGGTCGTTGGGAAGACGCTATTTGAAGGGAAGGCGCTGCCTGCTGTGGCTGTGGGGTATGGACTCGGGGGTGATGATGCGGTCGACATCGATAGTGGAGAGTCGTATCATACGCCGCAGGAAGAGCCAATGTCTGTGGAGTCAAGTGGGACGGAGGAGGGGTTTTCAGTTGCGGATGATAGAGTGGAGGCCTCGGTTTTGCAATTGCTGCCGAGTGTCTATCATGTTCTGTCGTATCTGCAAGAGCAAGCATCTGGCGGGGCGAGGAGAGACGGTGGGGTTGTCGCAGCACTTCGTGGGACACCGGAGTTTGGAGCGCAGATTCTTGGATCGTATTTCGAGGCTTGCTTGGTGTTATTGGAGGCTGGGAGCACTGTTTCTGAAGAATGGACGCGATCTATTCTCAATGTATGGAAGAGTTGTATCCGGGGAAACCCCAATTCAAAGAAGGCGAGTTCCCCACTGTTCCGGGCATTGGGTTAATATTGACCTCCCACCGGTAGCTCTCAAGTATATTTTCTACTACCTGTATTGTGCCGGTAAACAACCTCCTCGCCTTCCGGCCTCCCCAGCCAACATTGCAACCGTATCTAGAAGAACTGCTTTTAGAATTCGTTTTCACACCAGAAATAATATTTCCCAACACCCCTGGAAAGCCATCCAAAGCATCCTCCAAAGAGTTAACGGCACTCATGGAACCACTAAAACCACAAACCACTGGCAGAATCCAACTCTTCCGCTTAGCCATAGGGCCACAACTCCGTCGAAGCAAGCCAGACATCCAAACCGTCGAGGCCCTAATGCAGGCGATAATACCCTTCTGCTATGCAAAAACGTCTCCGGAAATCTTCACAGACCTGTTAGAGCTACTAGCCGAGAATGATATTAATCTCTCATCCGAAACCCTATCACTTATTGTTGACGAGACGTCAGGCCTTGCGAGTGGGGGGGCGCGGGATGTGAGGTGGAGACTAATTGACTTGGCACTAAAACTCGACTTTGACATTTTTCTAGGAGGGAGCAGCCAAGGGCGTGGGGATAACCTGATCCATGCCATTGGTCACGCCGGCGTCGGCGACGACGGCAAGCAGGTACTCAAGACGCTAGGAGTCTTGATCGAAAGTTACGCGAAAGCTCGGAACCTCGGCGGCTTTATCGAGATATGGGTAAGAGAACTACGATCACGATCTGCGCTATGGGAGAATGATGCAGTAGCAAAAATGATAGGAGAGAGGCTTGAGAAAAGTCTTTCAGGTCTCCAGATCGAAAAGATCTTCAAGGAAGCCTGCGAAGCGGGTTCAGATTTTAACTGGGTCCTTATTGATGCGCTATTGCGAGGCGTGAGGGCTGAAGCAACTGAGTCTAAGATCAAGAAGTATCTACCGAAGGTTGTGAGCGCTGCGGAGACATCTGCGAGTGGATGGCGGAGGTGGAGAGCGCTACTTAGGGTTATACAAATAGATAAGGCTGCTGTCGATCAGGAATTTATCCAACGAGTTAAACCTAGTGCTGGGAAAGATGTTGACCCACGGGAAACGCTGTTCTTTAAGGAATTCCAGATTGCTCTCGTCAGTGGTAATGGCGTCTCCCCTCCGGAGGATGCTTTAGACGTTGCTTTGTCGTCTACTGGTGGTGTATGGTGGACTGGTTCTGTGAAGGATATAAACAACCAGAATCTCTGTCTCGCACTGAACACGGGGCTTGTCAACAACTGGCTGGGATCAATTGAGCATATAGGGAGTCTCCCCGCAAAAGAGAAATTCATAGACCACTTTCTGGATATGGCGTTACACACTGAAGATAGTGAAGAGTCACTCATTACCGCTCGGAGTCTCTGGTTGAATATGCTGGCTAGTGAGGAGTTTTTCGAACTTCCGACGCTCAAAGGTAAATACTCTGTAGGCTTTACCTGCCATATCCTCACGTATTTCACACTGATTATACTGGATATCTAGACATCGCCATGGCTGGTCTCATCCGCCGCTTACGGCCCTTCTCAGACATGCACTGCACTTCCCAGTCCTTAAACAAGACCACAAAATACCGGCAGGGAACGAATAATGAAGCCATCCAACAATACACCTTCGTAATAGATAGCATAGCACACTACCCCCCTGAAGCAATAAAGCGAGTAACCAGAGAGAAAATCCTAGACACTTTAGTTCTCCTCACCCCCAACCCCACCTCGACTAGCGGCAACCCCTCCTCCGAGTTGGATTCCAAGGTGCTCCAACTAATGGACAAACTCTGGACCCTTGGAAACGCCAGTTCGTTCTTGGCCACCGATGCTGTGGGATTGGTGGAATGGGCCAGTAGACTGAGTGGAGGTATCGCCAGGAAGATTCTGAGGCACACATTTTCAACAAAGGAGCAAGAACGCAGCCGGAGGTTCCTAGCGAACGTGGCGAAAGCGGCAGATGAAGTGCCATTATCTGCGGTGGAAAATTCCCAAAGGGCGGTTGTAATTATCGAGGAGTTTTGGAATGCTGGCGAGGGGAGCGTCGTGCGGGGGCTAAAGGATAAATTGATGATCAGCCTGGAGGAGCTATTAGCGGATCCCGAAGGTGGCCGGGATGCTCTCCCCGATGTAGCTTTTATGCAGGTATGGCGAAAGTGCTGGATCCTTCAGAGAGGTGGTCCAAAGGGGTGCCGGACAGGTATACAACCCCTCACGGATTTCTCCACGTTCGAACACACAGCTAACATGTACTTTTAAAGCAATGGAAATTGCCCGGCATGTAACTCGCTCAGCGATGCAACATGGTCTATCGGACTTGCTCCGCGATAAATCACTGGTGGAGGGAAATGAAATCCTCGGAGTGGTTAGAGAGGCGAGCATTCTCTTCTGTGCTTCTTCGGAAACTTCCGAGCAGGCGATAGAAACTACAGCGCTGGTTATCAGCATGTTGGGGTCCGATTCTACTGAGACGGTGGGCTTTAATTCTAGAGGAAATAACCACCCGCACAAGGATGGGTGTAGACGGGAGCTGATCACCGCATTTAAAGAAATGACCGAGAGACTTGAACACGACGCCTTTGAGAGTTGTCTTGCCGCAATTGTTGACGGATACCTACTAGAGATCACGGAAAACGCCACATCCGGCCCTAAATATAGAGAGGTCTTAAAAGCTATAGTCGCAAGTATCAAAAGTAAGCAATACTCCTCCAATCCGCACATCAACGAAGCTGAGGCCTGTGGCATAGAACCCAACGATGAGCCCACCAGGAAAAGAATGGCTACTTGCGCCTCAAAAACCTTCTCTAAGCTCTCTCGAAACCTACATAAAATGCCCACAGCAGAGGACTTCCTAACAGTAGCAACATGTATGGAGGCAATCCTTCATGACAAAGTATCCCCTGCCCTGCCCTCCTTCGTGTTTAAAGAGCTGACAAGTAAAGCACTGGGTAATCCACCAATCCAATATCGACGAATCTCTCACGGCGGTTGCACTCTCCACCAGCCCCTCCTCCGGTCCGCATTTCAACACCTCTAGCCCGGACGAGATTTACCTCGCGCTATGCAACCTAGCACGCACAGTTCTGACCCTCCATCGCCGCCGGATCCGCGGCGGGCGCTACCACCTCGTCATTACTACTCTACAATCACTACTCCACTGCATAATCAAGCGAAAGCCCGCCAGTCTTCGCAAGAAGTCCGACAAGGCGATTCATCCTCCTTGGCTGCTCCTCACACACTCTCCCATCCCCACGCAACTCCCGCCTGGGGTAACCCCAGTGGGAGTTAATGAAGGCTTCAATCGCCTGCTTGACACGTTCTGTGAGCCGTCAGTTGGATCGGTTAGACCTAGACATGCGGGTGCAGCCACAGGAATAGATAGCGAGAGGGAGAAGGAGAAGAGGGAAGTAGCGGGGTGTGTTGGCGGGCTGCTAGGGGAGGTGTTGAAGGGCGGGTTAATGGGCGGGTTTGAAGGGGACGTCTCGATTGGCGTTGGCAAGATCTTTCAAGTTCTCGGTGGCGAGGGGGTGAAGGTCTTTGCCCGCGGGCTAGACGGTGAAGGGAGGGCGATGTTGAGGGGTATGTGGGAGGAGTTTAAAAAGGGGGAGGGAGGTGAGATGTGGTAATTGGGGTTATTCTGGAGAATTTCTATTACATGATACGCTAGGGGTTATCAAAAGCACTGTTGAATTTTACGGGGAACAGGACGGGTGGGTTTATATTGCTGATGTCATTCTCCGTGCTGTGCTGCTGCTAGAAAATTTAATGATAATAATTATTATAATTCTTTAGAGATTTGAAATACCCTCCCGATAACCCTATCCCTTTTTCCCGGTAAATTTTTTTTATAGGATCGGGGTCTTACTGTTCTTCTAGCTCCCGGGTGCCCGCCCATTCATGAATTTCCACCCTCTAACTACTCGTGATACCCGAGTGATAGGACATGATTCCCCATTCAGCCCTCCCCACATATCATACCCCAGCCCCAATACGCGACCCCCATCCCGACGGTTCCCTAGAGATCGGATCCAGATTTCTGAGGCAGCATATCCCCAGAGTGATATCACTTGGCTAGAGCCCCCCCCCCCTCAAGTGAGCCCTGTACTTTGAGCTGTTTCATCACTGTATTCGGAGATTATGTTTGTGGTGTGTTATCACTTTTTCATTAGCCGGTGGGGATTGGAACAATATCTGATGGAGGAGCTATCTGTTGTGCTGCCTTGGTGAGATTGAGATCTATTCTTTGAGAGCGAGAGTAGCCGAATCCGGACCGAAGTGGGTTTGAAGAGTCCTACTTTTTGGTCCAGTCCGAGAATAACCTTGGGGGGGGGGCACGAGCCGTACGATATCCCCGGAGCATACGGTTTGGGCCATCGATGGCCGAGGGCTGTTGCGAATGTGTTTGAGAATTGTGAGCTTCGAAGGTCTTGCTAGACTTCATCTATCAAGTTATAGCTCCTGTGGGTAGATATGTGGGCGGTAGTGTCATAACCAATTCTGAGATTTCACCCTGGTATGGTCACTCTAGTGGGAGCCATATACAAAAGTTTTCAATCGATCGTGCATGCCTCGGTCATGCCCGACTGATGGCTGATAGCACTAATACTCATATCATAACTTCTCTATGTATCACACTAGTTCCGATTCACCGCCGGGGCGGAACTTTACCATAACTCACTTTGGCAAAAGCTATCAGAGGACTTTCTCTTTTTCTCTCCCTCTTTCTTTCTTCCCATCGGCCAGATCTACAATACACAACGTTCACAATAACTACCCATCCATCCGATTCATCTTACCACCGCAGCACGCAACGGCCAAGTCAACCGCCAGGTCTAAACTCAGCCAGGACATTCCAATCGGATATATAAAGCAAGTTGGAAGAAATATTGGAGTGAAATTAAGATAGATAATTCAACTTTGTTTGGAAATCAGTTTGAGCAGACCACCGTCGTGAGTGTAATTCTCAATACAAGAAAAAAAAAACGCCCAAAAGCACAATGAGGAGTATGCTGGACAAGTAAGAGTAGTTATTAGCACTCGAGGGAGGAGTGCAAGCCGGATATCGGTTTTTGTAATTTTTAGTTTACAAATCGCCAAGAGCAACAAAGCGCCCTACCTAGTCCGAGTCTATTCATTGATTCTCCAACGGTGATTAATAAATGTTGGTTGAAGTTTCCCAAACTGAGTCCGTTTTTGTTCATATGTGATTGGGGCGTTTACTTTCAGGAGCACTGTACGTCTGCAAGTGAGCTCTACCCCCCCCCCCCCGTCCCCCAACACTGGTTCCATAGCCGGTGCATCCGTTATGATTTAATGGTACTGATTGCTACAAGCGCTTAACGGATTGTGAGTAGCGGTCTCCGCAACAGCACTCTGGCCATTGCGGCAGTTTGTGCCCACTCATACGCAGTGTAGAGAGAATTTACTGAATACCGGTTTACGCTTATTATTTCTGCTATTGTTCTAGATTCCGAGGCAAGTAGAGGTTACTGTCTCAGCCCCCCTGTACAAAATGTGTCGGATCAGCAAGTGGTTTCCGCTGCCAGATCCTTCGACTTGTTAAGGTGGTCGTAAAATTTGGATGACCACGGTCACTGTTATTAAGGGACTTTCTGAGAGAATTTGCATTGCTAGATATATATACAGAACCTCGATAATTCTGGGCCTAATATAGGAACCTGGGTACGGTATTCATTGGGAAAAGAGGTTTTACACTTCTCAGGCAGCCACCAGAACGTGTGGAAACAATGAACATTCCAGTTAGAGATCCTCACCTAAAGGTTAGAATTCTCGCAGTAGAATACTCCCTTCCAAGATCACATATGCTGAATACGTCGAGCACAATTTAGCGAGATCATACACCACATCCGGTATCAACACCAGGCCTCAACTCTTCTACACACGTACACACACGCACCAGGTTACGCAATTCAAACCACTTTCCCTCTGACAATAAATCCAAGCTCCTGGATGCCACAGCTCCCACCGCCGCACACCACCGCCCTCACTTCCACCCCGCTCGTCCATCTATCCACCAAACATCCACCAAACATCCACCAAAATGCCCCAAAACGTCGACCAACTGAAGTCTCAGTTAGAAACCTACAAGCACAAGATCAAACTTATCAACGCCCAGATGGACAAAAAAATCCAGGAGTACGAGGAAATGATGGACCAGGTGAAGGGCTCTGAAGACTCTGAAAGGTATGACGCTACCTTTGGGAAACAACTAGACGAAGCTTTGGGGCCGATGTGGGACGAACGTATAACTCTAGAGGAGAAGGTTGAGGAAATAGGGGAGGAGTTGGAGGCGTTGGTGGGGAAAGGGGGTGAGGGGAGTTCAGGGAGGGAGGTCTAGGTTTGGTAGTGCTAGGAGGTTGGAGTTTGCAACGATTATGATTATTCGCTTGTTTGGACAGGACTGGGTTTTTGCTTTGTTTTTTTTTTATGAAAAGGTTGTGTTGGTGTGATGACCGGTTTGTCCTCGCCGCAGCTGCGGGGTGGTGAGGAGGAGTAATAGGTGCTAGTATTTGGCCTTGCATATATCCATGCTGTGCCATACTGTCGCGGGTTGTCGGTTCCGTTGGGCAAATAAGGTATGGCGGTCTAGGTGCGGAGGGGGTGTGGTTAAAACTTATAACCCTGAATGATATGTTATGATTCTGGGGGGGAAACAACTGATCCTACCCAATCTCACTGTTAAAGGTGCGAGAAAAGCGATCTGTGGTCGCCAGTTCCGATGGTCTAATAGGTAAAGAACCAGTTCTACCATTCCCAACAGGGAACGTTAGGAGCTTGGATGGCCGCGTAGTGCGAGCGTCCGGGCACTAAAAAAGCCCAAATTATCATACCTTTTTGACGGCTTGGGGTCTAAGTCAGTTGAAGCCCTGCCCAATCCTTTTTCCTGGGAGAATAGATGTATATGCTACTACGGGAGAGAGAATTGAGAGTGATTCGGCAATGAAGGTCGTCCGATGTGGATGATATCTACCCTCACCTCCTTTTGCAGCAGAATCCTGGAAGTGCGGCACCTTCAGATCTTCAAGAATGGTCTTCTTGGACATCTCATCAATCCTTCTTCTCGGGCTCTAATACTCACGGTATCACAGATCTCACACCGGGAAGTATCCTGCAAAGCGTATATCAAACTCCTTTGTTTACACCCGACACCGATGCATATGTGGCGTAATGGCCACTACGAGATTTCACTCTAGAGCATCGCAGTCAAATGTATGCGGATAGGAGGTACGGGAGAGTCACGGAGGTACCGCCCAGACCAGAGAGCAGATTCCTTGACACACATGACCCTTACCGCGATCAACGTGAGAAGCTCCAAATTACAAGACTCGTTTTCCAGGACACAACACCAGAGAGATATACCACGGCAGTGAATTCAGCGAACATATAAATCCCAGAAGCTGCATTCCACCAGACTAGCTAACCTAGACTTCGTCTATCAAGCGAATATAACATTTTCAGCACTCGGCACTTTGCCATCGAGTCCCTGCAATATCTCTGACAGAAAACACCATCTCAGATCTAAAGAGAAAAAGTAATTACCGACCGTCCCCGATGGCCAACAGTTAGGGAATCGGTTCTACCAGTGTGAACATGGAACGTTATGCATCCGAGCCCTGTTCACTGTACTTGTAGGTGACCTCTATCTTATTAAGACATCCTCGAATTGCTGCTGCTGTCGAGTTTCCGAAGGATCATATCCAGTACTAGCAGCGGCGTAATATACCCCCTATGCTAAGTAAAGGATGAGCAAGTGTTCTAGTCCGTGCTCCATCCCCGGTGAAGTGCTTACCATGTGTGTGGCCGAAGGGCTTGGGAGATCGAAGATGACACACCCCATCGCTTGCTCACCGGGCCGGCGGGAAACCCACCCCGCTCGCGGTAACATGAGATGCCCGCGAGGCTGGCTGATAAATCGGATTTTTCCTTGACATGTACAAGTTCGAATGTTTTCAAGCTACGGCAGTGATATCTGATGAGAGTGTGGTGATCAGAAGAATGACCAAGTTATGGGGATTTTTCTCTGATCATGTGAGATAGTATGCCGCTCACCCTTAATCCCACTTGAATTAAAACTAGGGGAAAGAAAAGGGAATGGAAGTTGGAAAGAAGCTCTAAACATCTCACATACGCCAGCACGCATTGCGCTCCATGATACATGAACAGTGTAACCCGTTGTTTGTTGGGCCGGGAACATGAAGGGCGGAATAGATGATAAGGAAAGGATATGGCAAATATGTAAAAGCCGAATGATGATATTTCTTAAAAATCCGGACCAGCACTCCTTCGGTATTTGTTGTCACTTCATACGTCTCCCGACCAGTACTCGTGCCACGGCACAGCCATTGAATAACTTGGGCCATAGTGGCAGCCCTACAGCAAGGCGTCATTCCAGGACGCGCAGAATAATAGTTAGGGGCGGGACCCCGAACGCCCAGGAATATACACGCGATATTGGACCCCCGCACATTATAGCCAAAGGGGGTGTGTCCGGCCGTATTGATTGATATATTGGAGTCTACGCCCTTCCGGTCCAACAATATCTCCGCCAATCTTTTGCCACCATCCACGGCAGCCTCACAGGACTGCACTCTTCCCCCGCGGTGCATTGAGCGGGGGTTGATATCGGTTGGGCTCAGCAATCGCCTCACCCCCTCTACATACCCACCCCTAGCCGCAAGAGAGAGTGGTGCATGGCTAAAACAAAATTCTACCGGGCCAGGAAAGACGTCAATTCGAACGGGTACTCGTAGTTGTGACAGTACGGCCCCATGCGGCTCCCAAACAGCGCCAAACAAAGGTGTACGAGTACAAGTACTAGTGCAACCCCAGCTATCCCGCTGGGAGATGCTAGGTTCCCCATACTAAGTAGCGCTGAGAATGTTTCATGGATCCCGACGCGCATGACAAATGTAAACCACCCAAGCCTTCATTGTGGGAGGCCCACCACCTAAGCTCTCCTCGGAGATCGTACATTGAAAATTTTTCGCGTCGGCATGCTCAGGGTATTGGTTTAGAATTCTAATTGCCAGGGGTTGAACACATGTTATCAGCTCTCTTTTCACATGAACCCCCCAATAGCATTCCGGAGAGGCTGCAAACTTTAGTCCCACCGAGGAGCTGCAAGGCCCGGCGAAGGTTCCAATACTGACTGAGAGCTTGAATAGCTCAGGGAAACATCCGCAATAGTAGCACGAGGGCTGCGAAAGAGAGCAGGACGCTTGCGAAGGTACTCCTACAAAGCCGCACGGATCAAAACCATTGACGTTTCCTAATCAAAACAACTATCACAAGACAACATCCAAGAATAGCCGTCGGGCCCTTGTCCATTTCTGCCTGGTTATACGGTCTCCCCGTAAGAAACAATCGTGTTTCCAGTAATTTCTCGATAACCTACCCAAGATATCGTAGAAACTCGACCCAGCACTCCACCAGAAACCAGTCCAGAGCATCAATACATATGAGTGTTTTTCCAAACTATGCAAACATCTGTAGAAACGTCTTGGGGATTCTATCGAACGAGTCAGGGCACCCCCTAAGATAGGGTTTTAGCACCTGGAAAGCCCGGAGTGGTTCCCGGTGTATCGCTGGCTATCCGACCGCATGCTGCCTTTGGAGACCATCCATCATATTCACGGTAGTCTGCTCCTCTTATTCCAAGCAATAACAGTACATGCATGTGATTCCGACATTTGACCCCGGGGCGCTATAGCACAAACATCGGTAACGAGAGAACTAGAAACAAACGTCTTTAGCAGCTAGCTAGCTACTCAGGTGGTATAGAAGGGAAGATCACTGCCAAATGGACGCCCGTTCGGCTTCCAGAATCCCCCAAAGAACAGGGCCATATCAACAGATCCATTAATCCGCTCCTCCCGCCATGTCTAAACTCCCTGCTTCCCAAAACCAAACCCCCCCCCACCACTTTAATGCGCGTATCTGACACATGCTGATGCCTTTTCAAGGCCCCAGCGAGATATCCATCCGAGAACCTCCAGCCACCGGCTCGTGACTACCGCGAAAGCGGATAGCGTCGTTGAAGCCGTTGGAATTGCCGCTAAGCGAAGTCTCTCTCCATTGCTTCTGCAGAAGTGAGTGTCGTACGCCGGTGAGCCGATCCCAGGAATAGCCGTATTGTAAGCTGCAAATCGGACCGCCTGTGGAATGATTAATTTCGCACAAAAAAAACCGGAAAACTTGGAGTCCTTGATCAGCCTCAACATCTGTGTAACTGTGTTGCCAAACGGCTTGCCGGGCTAACCTCCCCTATGGTACCAGGTATCCCGTAAGGCACCTATCAGCAACGAGAATTCAGTCAAGGGGTAGGAGAAAGCCTGGAGGAATATTCGCTGATACTATAATAGTAGCTTCACCGCGAGCCGCGCCCTCCAAACCACCCCTTCTATCCCCTTCCTCCCGTCACACCAGCAACACAGTAACTGTACACACCCAGTAGACCAGTCACGAGATATGATTCGGTATACTATTTTCCGTAGCCCGCTCCCCGCCGTCCCCATACCAGATTTTCGGCATGTACGACACCCACCCGTTAGACTACCGTGAGCACAGCTCCCACGTGACATCGAACATTCAAATAGTGAGCCCTAAACTTATTAAACATTACAGGAGTAACTATATCTGCAAACCTTCCCCTCCTAACACAGTTATTCTCACAATCCCTCCCTTGAGGAGTTCTTCTACACTGATAGGACCCTTGGCGCGTACGATTGACACGCAAGCTCGACCGACGCACGAGTCACTATCTCCATTGACCTCGGGGGAAGCGTGGGGGCAACCAGAAATACGAAGACTAGATAATTGCAGGACCAGTTCTAAAGAAGCCCCAAAAAGAAGGCTGTGGAGAATCCCCCTTTTCACTGGCAGGCATGGCTTAAGATCTCCATCCTCATTTCCGTCCGTCCCGAGCTCTAAAGAGGTCCCCGTTAGTTAAAGCGACAGCGTCACCAGCAATAGCTTAGCCCCCCCCCGCGCACGCCCGCAAACTCCGATTTGCCCGGTAAATCACACATTCTCAGAGGGACGTTGTGCAGGCCGATCCCGCACAATCAGAGCTGGGAGGATGAAGGAAAGCGGGGAAGAGATGGACCCCATCCGCAAGACTCAGCAAGTGGTAAATGCCCCCAAAGACTAAATTCAACCAATTGCTCTCGCTAAATATCTATCGGCCGGAGCGATAGACAGTGACCAAACACCCTCTCGCCACCCTGCAAGTACCGTGGCCGGTTCCATAGCTAACGGCCGGCTCCCGAACCATCCAGTTTACTCTACTATAGTCCGGTAATTTATGTTATGGCACCTGTTAGCGAAGGGGCTCATTGCGCGTCTACGGCAAGGCCATGTGCCCACTTTGAGCCTCTTCCCTGGTAAGACCCCAGCGTATCTTATGGGTCTATTCGTGGTACCGTAGGTACGGTACAATCCGGTAGTCATGATGGAGATTACAAACTCCTATCATGCCACGAACCACGCAAAACGCGTATTGGGATAGCACCCGAACAACGCTCTTCAACCAATCAAGATTTCAATAAATACTATCATACGAGTGACATATCATGATCCCATTCCCCGACCTCATGGTGAAGGCTACGGTACGGCCTGCAAAGCCACATCCAAACCAGACACTACCATTGAGTACAGGAAAGACGAACCGCTCCCGATTGATTTGTTACTACATCAATAACTCCACCCCGCATAACATGTATCACTCATTCTTCGCAGCCCACTGCTTAAACCACTCCAAACTCTCCACATTCGCAACGCTAGCGCTAACCTTGACGTTGATCCCGCTGATGATCTGCTTCACTGCAACTTCTACCTTCTTCCCATTAGTCGTGACCGGGATTTCCGGTGTCACGTCGATGAGGACTGGAACGTGTCTTGCGCTAAGATCACGGCGGATGGTGCTCTTAACCGCAGTAACCAATTGGGTAGTAAGGAGTGCACCGGAAGACATCTTTACGAAGAGAACGACATTCTCGTCTGTGTCGCTTGCACGGCGGCGCCCAACGCAGACGGCATCCTCGAATTGGGAGGGGAATTTGGCTAGGAGTACATTGTACTATTGCTTGTCAGTCTATGCCAAAAAGGGCTGAGAAGGGTATATGCACAATCTCCGCGGAACCAATTCTCACACCGGCAGGTTTGAGAATCGCATCGCTTCGACCAAGCATCCGGAGGCCTCGCGTTTCAGGATTTATCTTAATAAAGTCACCGTGGTGCCACACGCCTGTTCCCGTCAATGCCCAAGCACTTTCTTGAGTTCGAGAAAAGGAAGTGTACCAGGGAACTCCTCGAAATACGATTTCCTGTAAATGGCCTCGCCATCCCTTCCCCAGAATTTGACTGGCATGCAAGGGAATGGCTTGACGCATACAAGATCTCCTGTTTCGCCAGAGGCCTCGACGTTGTTTCCGCCGCCGTCCCAGGCTTCCACCTTCATTCCCAAACCCAAACATTGAATTTCACCGCTGTATACCGCAACAAGAGGTGAGGGGGCACCAAACAGCGAGATGATGTCCGTGCCCCCGGTGATGGAGCCAAGGTCAAGATCCGGCCCGAATGCACTATAAACATATACAAATGTTGATGGTGCAAGCACTGATGCGGTGGAATATATTGCTTTGAGGGTTTTCATGGGATATTTATCCTCTATTACTCCATCAGCTATATCGTCTCGGTAAGCGAGGTGAGAGGCAAAACACACTTGGGCGCACATTGCTTTGTTCCAATACCGAAAGATACTTGGCGCTTGTGCCGAAATGTGTTACCCTAGAATCCCTTAGCAGCGGACATACCGAGGTATGATAATACGTTCACACGTACCCAAGTTCATCAATTAACTTTGCCATTGCCAGATTTCCCCCTTCCCCTATCAGAGGTCTAAATGGCGAGCCATCATAGAGAACGATAGTCGCACCGCTCGCCAGGCCAGATACAAGCCAATGCCACATCATCCCTAGTCCCATATTAGCGAGATCATAAGCTTCGCGTTTAGGAATGATTATCAACTGACAAGTAACAGTGGTGAACTGAAAGAAGACCGATCCGGGACCGATATCGCAATGAATCACATGTTCCTTCTTATGCTGTATTAGAGTTCCGACAGCCCCATGGCAAATGCACTTGGGCTCTGGGACCGCCATCAGCAACTCTTGTACAATTGAAATGGAAAAAAAAAAAAACATACTTCCTGTGGTCCCCGAAGAAAACAAAACATAAACAGGGGTGTCGGGAGGCAACTGCAAAAACTCCAACGGACAGTCTTGGTTTCCTGTCTGCACAAAATCCTCATACTGCCAAACCTGACACTCACTTCGCCCGCTCGGCTTCACGTTCTGGGCGTCAATTTCCAGTCCAAAGGTATTAAAAACCACTACCGTCCCCAGTTTCAAAAGAGCAGCCGTGATTTCCCCCAGCTTCGGCATAGCCACGTGCATTTTGCCATTGTAAAGCACACCGGAATCCGCAAAAAGGACTCTAGGTTCCAACTGAGCCAGACGGTCAAGCACAGCGGCAGTTCCATGATCAGGACTAATCCCTGTCCACACGCATCCCAAAGACGTTGTAGCGAGCATAGCCACCAAAGCATTCGTGTGATTCGCGACGTATCCTACCGCGCCGTATCGCTCATGTAAGCCTTCGATCCCTCCAATGAAAAGCTTCTGTTTTTCCCTTGGGAGATCTGCACTCCTTACCTGCCACTACATCACCCTGCTTAACCCTCTGTTTCAGAGCCGCAGCACAAACACGCACACGCTCGCGGAGATCTTTCCAAGTGACATATTCCCGTTCGCTACCCTCCGTTGCGGCAATGACCGCGATGGCGTTCTCGTCGACCGCGTCACCGCCGTTGTCGCGTAGCTGCGGGAAGAGTAGGTTCTCGGCGAAATTGAGGAGAGCTCCCGAAAACCAGGCCGGTCTTGGGAACATTCCGGAATTCACATCCACGACCTATCTCAACATTCTTAGCTTGTCGCACTTTTATCCGGCGCCTCAATTGGCAGAAGGAGTACCGGTAGCGGTGGCGGGACTGGTGGATTGAACGTGGGCACCTACGGACTCGAACCCCTGAGAAGCTTTAATCCCAGTGTAGTACCAAACTTCGCTCCAGAAGTTCTCGATCTCCTCGACTGACCATGCCCATAAGGAATTGAGCTTGTCTTCCTCGCCCGAGAACTCTCGCGAGTATTTTTCCGAGACGTACCGTTTGAATTGGTACATTGCCGTTCCCTCAGGGGAAGAATGTTCCCATAGCTTCTCCCCGCCCTTCCCTTGATTCGTGTCCTGATCCTCGTCGGAAGTCATTTCTTCTTGAACCAACAAAAAGAGCCCAGAGAAAATGAATTGTGTGATTGCGGGCAAAATGAAGGGAAGAAAGGAGGGATCGAGCAGAGTCCCAATCAAAAAGTTCTTGAGGCTCCCTCTCCTCCTCTCTCCCTGTATGCTATCTATCATTCCCTCGCTCCCTACCCGTTCCGCTCGTCACGTTACAACATCCAACAACCTCTAAAAAAAAACCCGCAAGTGAACAGGATGGTCTTGGCGAGGATTACTGAATCGGCAAAACTTCCCCGCACTTTCGGTCCGCCTAACGATACGTCTGATTCCGCAGCCACAAACACTGAGAAAGCACTGAGTTCCCCCAGATGCTCTCCCCCCTCTGCACGCCACCCAGAGGCAATCCCCAATCGCAGTAATTCCCGGTCGCATATATATAATGCGATATGATATTCACCAGAGAACGCGAAGGCAAACAAGCAATATCGAATTCCGTGCTCCTTATCCAATCGCGGTGCCGGCATGTTTCCTGAAAGTGAGTCGCATGGGGTCGGGAGGTGGGTTGGAAATTGGGAAGACTTAACTAATGTCGCTTGCGGAGTATAAACCATGTCCTATATTTTCCAACCACTGCTTCCTCCAGGAATCCCCCCCCGTTGGGAGACTATTCCTTTATAGAGTAAATGACCATGGGCGGAAATTCATATATGACCAATGCTTCCAATCCTTCACCGGGAGATTAGCAACCGTCATGATGCAGGGCTGAGTAGATTGGTAGGCTATCGTTGGGAAACCAGGAAGCTTCCGAGGGGGCGAGGGTGACGAGCACGTTACTTGATCTTCTGGATACACACCATGGCATTGAAAGAGCCGCTCGGAGGATAAATTACATCATGGATTTCCGGGTCCGTTACAGCTACTGCGCGTAAAGTGCCGGGTTTCATGTGGGCTCTAGTACTTGTGGTTAGACGGGCACCACTCACCACAGGATCAGGAGGTTGAGTCGAGGTTACGGGTGCATGGAGGACCATTAGTCGACCACGGTTAAGGAAACCGCCAAAGCCCACAGACCCTCAAGGAGAATGCGAAGTTAGAAATCCATCGCCGAGTGATATCATATGACCTCCGGAACAACCTATTGCTCAGATATTCGACCGAACTCTCGAAAACATGGAGATCTATCGTACAATATTCCAACACGCGAGTGTTCCTGCCCAACCCGGTAGTCCTGGCCGACCGCCGTACTATTCGTGGCAGGAATTCCTTACGGACTATAGTGGCACGCAGATAGTGCTCTGGAAAAGATACGCATTCGCTTCCCAAAAAGTGAAGCGTCGGGGGGGGCGTTCTGTTATTGACAAAGATATATACTTTAGGTTTTTTTTGTCAAGAGCCGATGTGCAGCCTCGACGGGACGAGCCCACCCCTGGACAGAAGACTCTGGAATGCTGTATCTTGGCGGGGGCTGTCTGAACTACAGGGGGGAACCATTTTTTCCATGGTTGCATGCTGACTCCGACTCGCTCCCTCTCTCAGCGATTTCTCACCGCCGAGCAACAACCCTATCTCAAGTGTTGATCACCACTGTTTGGTAATACATCAATTGTTTTTAATTATATTTAATATTCTCGCTCTATTACTGAATGGATATGTCTCGTAACCAACCTCTCACACGTTTCCTTCTCATTCTGTACTGATTAACTGGAGTGTGCGGTTGTACCATTCCGCCTCTTTAAACCCCTGTACCCGTGCAGCCGGATATACGATGTTTGGTTTGGTTTCTCGTTTCCCCCACCCTCTCTACCTTTCAGCATGAGGAATGGATCTTAGAAGGCCCTAAAAGCTGTGGATTGCTGGCCCATATTCATGCTCTCCCTTCCCAGAGTTGCTGGCTTCTCGGCAAGATATATATCACCGGTTTTGTCCCTAGCCAGCACCTGCACAGATTACCCAGTCGATCACTTCTCCGGCCCGGCTATCCCCTAGCTAGAGTATAGGCACTCTTATCGCTTCGGCCCCAGTTATTTCTTCATCCCAGACTTTCATGCCCACGACATAGCCATCATGGCTGGTCACTCGCTCTTTCCTTTCTGCTCGACGATTGTTCTAGCATCGGTTTATCCCGTCCCGCCCCGCATTCAGTCTAGTTGATCCGACCCATATACAGGTTATGTTCTGGCTCATGAAGGACACGGCGGGAGAAAAAAATCCACTGTTTACATGCTTATTACGCTCTCAGGCGCAAATTCTAAGGATCCAGGGGTGGTCGTGTACAAATATAATAAGAGGCTGAGAATGGTCAGCAAACCATTATTGTACAAGTAGGTACAGACCTGTAGAGTCCGCACATGGCACCCCAGCCCTCAATGCCCAGTGGATTGTCCGGTTTTCGCACCATCCCGATCGGGTTCTTTTTTTGTGAAAAAAAAAAACATTAAAATGCCAAAAATTAGTTCCCATCATACCAAGAAAATCATATCATAATAAATTTAGCACCCAATTCTAAACCCTTTCCCCCCAACCCCCTGAGAAAATGAGTCCAACTCCATCTAGGTCCCCAACGAACAAAGTTCCACACCATTCCCTCGAACGCGATCCTCACGAACAAATCCATCGCGCCGTTTACTCCTTAACTCGAGTTACAAGGGGGAAGGGACTAAAAGGCCCAAAATCCAGCATTAACAGAAAAAAAGAAAAAAGAAAAAAAAAGTACCATAAAGCTCGACTATAGGATAGATAGGCTCCTCGAAACCTACACATCCCCATCGCATGACCGCGTCCCTAAGCGACCGAGACGTCATCTAACGCCTAACCTCTCCCCCACCATCACACCAAATAGTTCAGCACCACAAACGGCTCGGAGTCCGTGCACGCGTTGCAGTGCTTTAAATTCAGAGCCTCCCCCCAAACACGAACTCCCATCCCACCCTGTGTTTTCCTTTTCGTTCCCTCACTCGCTCCCTTCCTTCCCCCCTTCCCTCCCCTCCCCTCTTCTCCCCTCTTCTCCCCTCTTCTCCCCTCTTCGCTTCCCACTTCGCCTCACACATACCCCACTACTCAACATATCATAGTCTTTCCGCGAGCCGCGACTCTGAAACGACTCGTGCTTCAACCCTTTGGCCGAGATGTCATTTACCGCCATTAACTCCGTGGCTGGTGGGGCGAAGAAAGATACGGGCAGAGGTGCAGGCAAAGGAACCAGGGATAGCGATAAGATGACAGCTAAAGATCAAGGCAAGGAAGATCAAGCCAAGGAATTGCCAGCGGAAAAGGAAAATGAGAATGAAGAGCAAGAGAGAGATGCATATATCAAATTTCTCTCAGGAAAATATGGTGAATATCCTTCATCTCAATGCGTTCTCTTTGCCCCCCCCCCCACCCCCCTCAATTGGTGCCTCAATTAAATGTTGATACTAAACTCAAAATCCATACTATAGATACACTCGACTCCGAGCTCACTCTTTCACTTAAGAAGTCAACGTCTTACCTTCTCCTTCGCCACATGGTTATCCGCAGATTTATCAAGGTGTATGAACCAGACGAGAAAGGAAAGCAGTTTCAGACGTTCTGTTGCCATTGCGACAAGGTCTGGGGGCCTTACGATATGCATAATACTACTACGAGTTATTTGATTAGGCATTTCTCTATCGATCACCCCGATCTGCCCAAAACGTATCCCGAGGAGGATGCGCTTCTTCGTCGCCAGATGCATGGGGTTGTCGAGGACCCAGCAGATTCTAAGGACAAGAACGCCAAAGACGCAAAGGGAAAGGGCAAAAAGAGAGGTGGTAGAAACAAGGCTGTTGGATTGGACGAAGCGAAGGCTGGTGAAGAGGGTTCAAAAGGCGGCGCCAGAAAACTCGAGAAGAACAAGAGGGGTAGGGCAATTGCGGAGCCCGAGACTCCTGTTCAATTGAGGGCTGCGGAAGTTAATGCAGTTTCTACCAAGTCCAGGAGTGATGAGGCCCTTGCCTCTCTTCGAAAAACCCGCTCTGGGAAGAGAACTGGACAACCCGAAAATATCTCTGCCGCTGGTATCAATCGTGATCCCCCCGACACACACCCCGCTCGCAAGCGCAGAAGAACCGAGACCTCCGCGGCCACTAGTCGCAAGCATAAAACCCCCTCAGTTGAAAAATTTCTAGCGGAGGCAGACCATACCCTTTCTACCCTCCTGCCCCCGGAGAATGATTCAGGTTCCCTCCCTCCTCCCCCAGCTACCCAACGCTCCACCGCTACCACCGCCCTCCCGGCCCCTTCGTCTTCCGCCACCCCCTTCGTCCCCACCGCCATTGACTCCACAATTCCGCAAACTCCTTTCACCCAATCATACAAAAACCTCTTGACCGAATTTCTCGCCTCGAGCGAGACCTCTCCCAGTGTCATTGAGACCAAAGAATTTCATGATCTAGTCAACTTTCTCAACCCGGAGACTCCTAAGTTCAACTTTAACATCTTGTTCGACGAAGTCTTTGTTCGTCAGAGGGAAATTCGCACTGACAAGCGTGAGAAGCCCGATGGGAGTGTTCGTACTAAGAAGTTTGAAGACTCCCTTAAGAAGGAGAAGGAAAAGAGAAGAAAGAAGGAGGAGGGATACAGAGCTTGGCTGTTTCGCGACTAGATGGATAAATTGCTTACATATTCAGGTTTGGAGAATGGATGGGATTTGAATGCGGGAGAACAAATGTATTATTATGCGCAGCTTTTTTTCTCTTCCTTTTGTTTCTCATTTCTTTCCTTTCCCTTCCTTTCCTTCTTTCATGTAGGTTTTTTTTTGAGGTTTAGTCTAGTTTGTGGTTGATTGTTTGCTTTGTATGTAGGTTCCCGATCGGGGGGATTTAGTAGCTTGCTTACCTTACTTTCCTACTCTACTTACTGCTATCTATACTCTTGCTTTCCTTTTTGTTTATTTAACTTTTGCGCTTAGTTACATGTCTTGCGTTGTGTTTTAACTCGGGGTCTGCGTTTTCACTTTGCACTCTTTACTCCTTGCTCTATTTTATTTGCACCCACACCCGGGACCCGCACCGTCACACGCGAGTGAGAGGTGGTGACATTCAACTCGGTCCTTGAGATGGGTCAGATAATTGGGCGGTGCTACTATATTCATACATGCCGTGCAGTATATTAGTCATTTACAATGGGTTTCGGAATTTCCGGTACTGTGGAGTCAGTGTTTTGCATAGCGTGGCGCAGTGTATAATAGTAGTGCAGCCGGACACCACACATCATGAGGATCTGTTGGGGTTGGCTGGCTTTATTCGTTCAAGCATGAGAGTGAGCAGTGTACAGTACCTCTTTGTGTAAAGAACTGAAGCCGTTGCGGGTGGTATATAGTACTGAACCAAACTGAATCGGATTGTATGGCATCTTGAAGAAATATTGTCTGGTATTCCTGTTCCTTGCCCCCGAACCCCAGAGTCAACCTTGAAACTCCCGTTCTGCCCTGTTTTCTTTCATCTCAGAGTATGATACTATAAGAATTAGGCATGATATCGTACCAATTC